ATGATGGAATCAGATCTCCATACGCATGCTGGAACCAATATCTCTATAAGCAAGATGGAACCAATGTCCAGAAAGCAAGATGGAACCAATACACTAGTGCAATACCAGCGGATATGTATGATGGAACCAATACATTTATGGAAACAACATTGTCGAATATGTATGATGGAACCAATACTTAATATTGCATAAAGCGAGATGGAACCAACACGCTCGGATATGCATGATGGAATCAATATCCTCATATGTATGATGGAACCAATATCGAGAGAGCGATGGAACCGTACCATGTCATGAACTTAGACTTCATGCATATTCATGAATAACGATTGGTTCCATCATAGCATTTCATACCCTACTTGTTTCCATCATAGTATATATACACCCTTATTGGTTCCAACATAGCAATTTCCCTAAAAACTATTACCGGGAAAGACGGGCGATAATGGCTAAAAGTTGTGGCGAACCTGATTCCCAACCTGGGCGCCAGCGCTCCCGAAGCGCTTGCAGCTCTGGGATTGGAAACGAAATGCAGCTGATCGTCTTGTTGCTTATTTGTGTCGTTACCGATTCTAAATTGACGTATGACATTGGAATGAATACCGGTGGTGACACGGATCACATGTTGTCACGTGGATTTCGCGTTGTAGCAGTCGAAGCCAACCCAATTCTTTCTGCAAGTATGAAACATCCAAATTTAACCGTCATAAATAAGGGGATCGACGCATCAAATGGCGAGATGATGGTGTTTTGGATGAACACGCATGACGTATTTTCATCTTTCATTAAAGAGCTCGGCTGTCGTACTGGATCAATCGATTGGGTGTGTGAATACTGCGAGTGTACTCCACTCAACATAACCACAATAACATGTGACTCAATAGTACAACAGTATGGAAAAGCCCACTACATGAAAATAGACATTGAGGGGCGGGACCGTGCGTGTCTTTCAAGTCTACAAAAGATACATATGAACGATCGTCCTGACATTGTAAGTGTAGAGACGCGCAGGACTGACGAATGGAAAGATCTTCTGTTGAGTCTGGGCTATTGCGCAGTAAAGTTGGTCGATCAGTCTCCTTTTAATAATAATGGGAAACAGTGGAGTGGTCCGTTTGGTCATAGAGCCAAACATTTGGATGGTACCATGCGATGGAGAAGGACTGAGCACGCAAGTTTCACGTGTCCAGACAATACTTGGTGTGATCTTCATGCAAAGCTCTGTAAACGAGATCCTGACGGCAACTACGTTGCGTGAATGAGCTCTGCGGTTGTTAGATGCAAGTTTGTTGTTCGCGAGATAGATCAGGGAGAATCTAGATAAATCGTGGAACAACATCCACAGCCTCGCTGCGGCAGGCTCTTCCATACACTGGAACAGCATTGTGACTGATCCCCATTAGGAAGTCATGCTCGACGGTCATGATAAGAGACGAGGAGAGCCACCTGCTCCCGCAACGCCCGACGCGTCCCGCGACGAATTTCCCTCTCCCTCGTGTGGGAAAACGCGACGGCGTCACTCAAAAAATTAAGCCGCAGCACCGGCCCCGGTCTAGCTTCGATAGTTCACCCTCGGACAGCAGGGCGGCCCCACTAGGCTGCCTCCCTGTCCCTGAGTTTACTATCTCGGTACCGGAAACATACTGTATTCCTGTAAATGCAATTCTCTTCATCCATGGCCGCACCCCACCTCCCCAGGTGGAGCCCTGGCCGACCGGTGATCAATATCAAAGAAGGGGGGGCTTGTCCAGGGGGGTTCGTGGGGTACCTTGGCGGCCGAGCCAGGTGGCGGCCGGAGGCCGCCCCCTAGCTGTCGCGGCGGAGGTTGGTCGTGAGGGTGGCGAGGGCGGCGCGGTCCGCGAGGCGGCGCGCGTCGTCTTCGAGTCGGTGGGAGAGGGCGCGGGCCTTGGACTTCCAGGTGCCGTCGGCGAACTTGAGGCCGGAGCGCGCGCGGTACTTCGCGGCGGTGGTGCCCCACTCGCGGTGGAGCTCGTTGCTGAGCAGGGCTTTCGCCTGGTCGGGGCACGCGCAGCCCATGGGGATCCAGCGCGACTCGGTGTCGGCCCTGCGGCAGCAGCTCGACGTCATCGACCCGCGCTTCTTCGCGTGCGCAGCCTTGGAGAGCCTGGAGTTCTCCGCGTCGCTCACGTCCTTCGTTCATCCGAGTATAATATTAATAAGGATCAAAACCGAAGGGCTTCTCACCAAGAGACCTTAATAATGGACCTCACTTCAAAACAAAATATCAAAAGGGACCTCACCGTCCACCATTTTTTACCATCATTACCTGGAATTTAATGTCCCATCATACCGACGCTTCTTCCCATAATAATACCAAGACGGACCTCACCT